TTTTTTTTCTTTTTTTTCATATCCAATATCAATTTTATATTATTCTATATTATTGATTTGTGGAATTTTATACTGATTATATATATGAAATTATACTTCATTTCCTACATTATTTTATACAATCACAACTCACAAGGAAAAAAAAAAAAAAACTTACACAATAATGATACTTTCGAAGAACATCTAAAATTTGGATTTACTACTTGAGTTACTTTTTTAATGGTTGAATAGTAAGTTCTTTTATATTTTAATATCATATTATAGATGATTAATCACTTCATACACTGTGATGTATCTATCATTTAGATGTTTGCATTATTTTTTCTTTTTGAATTTAGATGTTATTATGTGATTTTTTCTTGGTTAGTCGTTATTGAATTTCTTTTATATAATTGATATTTTAATTTAATTAAGAGTGGTTATTTTACAATCTTATAATTTTATATATATATATATATATTATATAAAATCATTATATGATAATCCAACTACAACATATTTATATTTAATTTTTTAATAAATTTTATATGATTTATATTTCTACATATTTTTATTTCCCAAATAAATATAAAAGAAAATTAAATAGTTAAAATTAGTTTTAATTTTATGTTACTAATTTTTCTTCTAATTTAACTATTATTTTTAAAATCAAAATGAGTATTTATTTTACTATTTTATAATTTAATATATATCATACAAAATTATTATATGATAATTACATTTTTATAATATGATAGAACTAAAATTATCAAAATACACAAATATGTCTACATTTCAACTAAAATATATATATATATATATATATATATTTAAGAAATAATTTTATAGAACGATAGTGACAATATTATCAAAATAAATAATTAAAATCATATTTAAATTTTAAATTAAAATTGAAATTGAAATTGAAATTATTATTTTATAATATATATTATATCATCAAATATTTTTTTAAAAAAATAACACATATATTATACAAGTCAACTATTAATACTTGGTGAAAATTAAATATGAAATCTAAAAGGAATACACCCCAAATAAGTTACACCCACTAGAGACAGAGACAACAGTGAGTGGTTTCTGAAGGGATCAACATCATAACCTTTTGTGTACGAGTGGAGGACTGCTTGCTTCACATACGTATAAAAACCACTCACACACACTCTGAGAGACGACAGGACTTATGCATGAAGGGTCCCACCTATAATATATGTATGGACGTGACGCCTCCCATTGTTTTCACCCACATTATTCCCTTATTCCCTTATTCACTTATATATATGGATTCCCTGTGATCCATAATTCGAATTGAAAGAAAATAAGATAATTAGCCAATTTATGGACTTTTTTTTGAGAAGATAGTTATAATTAATTTTTTGATTAAAAGTTAATTATAATCAATTTTTTATGAGAAAGGGAAGTGTGTTATAATCTGAAAAGTAGATTATAACCTGCTTCTCAAAAGACTCCTATATAGTTGTCTTTTGAAACAAGAAGGTTAGAAATTTAGGATTTGAATCGATAGAACGACTATAATTCTTTAATTTATTAATCTACTAACATATTGCATGGTAAAAAAATAAATAAATTAAAAAAAAAAAAAAAACTAGATTGGAGAACATTGTCTAAACTCATGAGATTTATTACGAGTCTTATTTTAATGATATGAATAATTTATTTTGTTGAAATTTTTTTTTATATTATTTACACACAAAATTAAATCAATTCAATAATTGTAATCTATTTAATTTATTGTGTTTGTCAAAAAAAAAAAAAATGAATGGTCTATTTTTAAAAACATAATTGATGTCTCTCTTTTTTATGACAAACATAATAAATTGAATTAAATAATATTATGATTATGGAATCGGCCTAACTTTTATATAGAGGAAACACTCAAAGTAAAAGACAAAATGAATTGATCAAATTATCAAAACATAACCTGCAATAAACTCTTACGAACTTAAATAAAGCTCTCCAGTCCATAATCTCGAGTGGATGGAATCCACCTTCCATACATATATATATATATATTTAAATATGTTATGTGTATATATAATAAGTAAATATCTATATAGTACATATATATATATATATATTATTTTATTTAATTTTATGTGGGTGGTGATTATTTGTGGACGTACATTCTTGTTGATGGGGGGTTTTGCCGCCCAATCATGGTGGGTTCTGAATGTGATTCCTTTGCTTCCACTTTAAGCCATTTTCATCCAATCAACATCCCCACCTTGCTTTTTACCAATTTGGCAAAAATTTTACTTCTGAGCTCTGTGCTTCCCCTCGATATTATTCTCATTTTCGCCCTGTGAATTCTCCTTTCTCCTATCCTTTCATTCTACAACAAAACTTCTGTTCTATATGTTTGGTGCAATTATAAATTGTATATAATTTATGAGATGTAAATAATTTAAATAATTATTAAAAATTAGAATAAATGTACTTTTAACTTCTATTTAATTATGCAAAAATTGCATGTCAGTGTGTATTTAAAAAAAAAATTACAAATTAATGATAAACTTTATAAGCATTAAAGTGTAAATTTAAAACTTTTTTCATTAGTTAGTAATTAATTTTTAAATAACCACTTGACAGTACTTTCCACTTTAATTATCAACTTTTAACTTTGTATCAAATAGGTCTTTATGTACTTTCAAAAATTATTAAGGAGAAATTACAAATCATGAGTAATTTGAAAAAATAATTACGAACTCATGAAATTTTTTATGATTTTAATTATGAAAATTGATTTAGAGCTCTAAAAGAGCACCTCTAAACTTAGCATTAAATTGTCTTCTTCTGGCCACTGTTTTGTCTTTTTCTGTTTTTTTTTTTTTTTTTAATTGGTTGCCAGCTCAGTAGAGCTGCTATTAGAGCAGCTCTACTAGAGCTCCCAATCACTGCTGTTTAATTATTAATATTTATGAAGCTTACTGTTGATTGGTAATTATTTTTTGCAAACATCACTAGTGTGATATTTCTCCAATTATTATCAAAATTACATTTATAAATCATAATTATTGTGAATATGACTCACATCATATTAATTTTGAGTTTACACCAAAGCAATTATCAAGATAAAAATTATGGATAGAAAACAATTCTATGGTGGCGTAAGAGGGTCCCTCAAATGAAACAAATAATCAATCAATGTAATAGTGATAAATGTTATAAATTGATAAATAAAAAGAAAAAAAGAAAAAAAATTGTAATGTTATAGAAATGTCAAAGACCAAGAGCTCATTTTCTTGTCCTGTGAATTCGTGCAGTCATTTTTTCATTCTCATATAAATCTTTTCATTTGCCAATAATAACAAAAAAAAAATTATAATTTAGATTTATTTGGAGCCAGTGGCGGAATCAAGAAATTAAGTCAGAGGGGCACTTATTAATTATAATTTTTTATTTAAAAAAAAAATCATGAGCAACATTAAGATAATCATAATTTTATGAGATAAATTTAAACATAAAAATTACATATTCATTATTAACAAGAACAAATCAAAATTCTATAATAGTGTGGAATAACTCTGTGTGGGATGATGATGTAAGTTTGTAATTTTAGCAAAAAAAATTATGGATCAAAATTCCTAATTTTAAAAAATAAAAACACATCATTTATAGCACAAATTATTATAAAATCTATTTAATTTTTATTTGACAGAAAATATTAAAGAGATGACATTGCTTATAAATGATGTGTTTTGAATGAAAATAATTAAACAGTCTTAGAGTATCATATGACATTACCTATGTGATGTTCAAAACATAGAAAATCACAAATCACATTAAGTGGTATGTCAACCACTTGAAAATAATGAGTTTATTATAGGAGTGGGCAACGGTTTATCCGAACCGCTCAAACCGTCCAATCCGCCCAACCCGTATATAAGTGGGCGGTTTCGCAAACATAATGCGGGCGGATGCGGTTTGAAATATGACAAATTTGCGGGTTGCGGGCGGGTCGCGGTTTAAACCCGCAAACCGCAAAAAACGCCCGCACTTTAATTATTATTATTATTATTTTTTTATATACCAACTTTGTAACTTTTACAGGAGTACCATTATATTCTATATGACACTAGGATCCTTATTTTTAAGTATTTCTCAACTTTCTTAATGCCGTAGAATTATCAAGTCCTAAACTTGGTTTCTTATATGATTTTCATTGGTGATTCATCCACTTTTTCCTAATAAATTTTTCTTCTAATGGTCGATAAAACTTATAGTTTGATTATTGATTACTGAACTGACAATTCTAATTGAGTACAACCTTTAATGCATTAATATACATTTTTTTCATAGCAAAAATGTTAGTGTAGGGTCTCTTTGTTTTGGGTACTTTCATTTAATGCATTGATATTCAATTTTTATTTGTAAACTCATCAAAAAATTGTTATCACAAATATATAAAAAGAATCTGATGCCTAAATTCGCTGGAAAAAAAAAAAACTCGAAAATTAATTTTTAAAGAAAAAAGTGTAAACCGCAAACCGCCCGCACATTTGCAACCCTATCCACACAAACCGCAAACCGCACTGCGGGCGGTTGCGAGTTGACTTTTTCCCAAACCGCATAGATGCGGGCGGGTCAAAACCGAACCGCAAACCACACAAAACCGATCCGCGAGCACCCCTAGTTTATTATATCTAATCTATAATATTTTTCGTTACACTATTGATTTAAACTACTATGTAAATAATACCACATAGTGTTTCTAAAATATCAAATAATTACTTGTTGTGAACAATATAATAAATCCTTAACCAAAGAACATGTTAAGAAAAAAAAAAAAAATACATTTTATACATGACAATAATAAAAATTCAAAATCAAGGCGAGACACGTGAGCCCTGGCCGTGCTGCCTCCGCCCCTATTTAGAACATAGACTCACCCATCGTATAAGAATTAAATATAAACCGTATTTTCTATGGTTGAAACATGTGATATTGTTTAAAAGTTATTTTATTTCAATTTTAAAATCAAGCATATAATAGAAAAATCACGACAAAAGATCCTTATCGCACAGGCGTGGTTCCATAAGACAATTGGGCTCCCTACAAATACCCCCAACACTCTCCATTTTATTTGCCATCGACCAAAGCCTCAACACACCCCAAAGCCTCCTCAAAGCAACTTCATCTTCATCAACCCTCAAAACTTCGCCAGCAACAACTCTGCACCCACTGTTGGTGCTGTTGTTGTTTGCTTGAGGTAATTAAACACATCTTTCATCTCTCTCTTTTCACTTCTTACTCACACACACACACACACACTCACACACACTTCTTATCTATCTGTCTCCTAAAAAGCTTTGTAACTTGAGATTTTGTTTGTTTACCAAGCTTTTTCAATTTCCTTCTTGGGTTTTTCTTTGTCTGATTCTAATAATTGATTCACAAACTTTGTGCAGCGAAATTTTCTTTTTTTTATCACTCCTCTTCTCTCACAGTCACCACCAGACAGAGAATATGTCAGGTACAGTTGGCATGACTACTACACTTGTCTTGTCTTCTTCACCATTGAAGAAGCTTGAAGAAGAGGCTGCTCTTCCTATGGCAATTGAGAAGCAAGGCATAGTCTCAATTCTTGGATCTGACACCAAACAACTACACCAACAAACCAAAGGTTCCTCTCTGAGAAGAACTCTCTCAGCAGACATGTCTTCGAAGAAATGGTTGGCTCAAAATGGGTTCTCCCCCATGAAAAAGATCGCTTCGTCTCAAGCGATTGCGGTCTCAGTTGCAGTGGCAGACTCGTCTTCCTCGGAGGAGGGAGAAGAAGAATTTGAAAGCCCCGGACAAGACGAGGTGTGGAGGTCTATCCAATCCAAGTCTCAGAAGAAGGAGGAGATTGAAAAGCCTAGTCAAGTTGGTATTTGGAGCTCAATTCTATCGCACAAGGCAAACGAGGACAAAACCGAGCTTCCTCCTCCTTATGTTCATCCTCTTGTGAAGAGATCTGCGAGCACCTTGAGCGAGAAAAGCCTCGAGGTATGCACCGAAAGTCTTGGATCGGAGACTGGCTCCGATGTGTTCTCCTCCTACCCGTCTTCAGAGAAGGGTGATGCAGAAGAGGACAAAGAAGAAGAAGAAGAAGCCCAACAACCACAACAAGAAAAAGAATTGCAATATTCCTTTGATATAGAGGAATTGCGAGTTGAAAAGTACGACTACTCTACTAGTAAGAAATTGGGTCTTAGCTCCTTCCCTCCTCCACTTCCTTCCCTCGCTCATGGTGATGGGCCATCCCTTCACATGCAATCTCATCGCGAAAATGGGCGATTAGTCCTTGAAGCCGTGTCCACTCCTTTGAAGAATAACTTTCGCGCCCACCGCCAGGGTGGACGCCTTATCCTCGAATTTGCCTCACAAGAACCAAATCGCGATGAAATCATTGGTCAACATCATGATGATTATGAAGTTGAAGAAATCGAACGAGTGTTTGACAACTTCAAGGAAGAAATAGACAATGAAGATGAAGAAAATGAAATAATTGAAGCGGAAGATGAAGAGGAGGATGATGATGATGATGATGAAGAGGATGAGGAGGAAGTGGTGGTGGAGAAAATTGAGAACAAAATTGGAACTAAAGAGATTGGAATTGTGAAGGAGCAAGCACCAAAGTTGTCAAGTGGGGCAATAAATGTTCATAGGTCAGCAATTATGATGAAGGAGCTATTGGGCCTAGACTATAGGAACAACTCAACATGGACTACTAAGAAGTTCAATGAAGCAGTCAATTTGGTGGAGATGGAGGAGGAGGAGGGTTGTCCACCACCTCTAACCACACTAGCACAATCACTTCCACGGCCAACACGTGTGGCTCGGCTAATTCCCTCATCATCACCGACTACAACCACCGCCACCTCTTTCAATGCTTATGAATACTTTTGGAGGACTAAACCTACTGTGGCCAACTTGATCAACAACCCAATCACCCAACAATGCCCACCCCTTAAAAACAACTACAACAAGGTCTTTCTATCAAGTGGCAAGCCAACTGAACAAGAGATGGTGATCTTGAGAAGGAATAGGGAAGATTACTTGGTTCCTTTGTTGAGGGGTTGCAAGGAGAGCAGGAGGTCACTTTTGATATGGGAGCCTTGTACCATTGCTTCCTCTTGATCCATTTTCATCCCATCCATTATTATTTGACTAATGCTAAGAATACAGAACTAAACGCATAACGAGTCATAAACACTTACTCAGTTGTGAGATTCATAGTATGAGCCTCATAATTATCTGAGTGTATTTTTGACATATTTTGCGTTTAATTTTTGTGTTGATAGCATTGCTGTTATTAATTACTATATATTTTCTCAATCTCTTGTAGCCAAATAAACATGAAAGAGAGAGAATACTTTGCTTTAGGTGATCAAAGAATTGGAGAGAGATGGTTTTAACAGTGTGACATATATATGTAATTTTATAAGTGTGTGTGTGTGGGGGGGGGGGGGGGGGGGGGGGGAGGGGGGGGGGGGGGTGGGGGGGGGTGGGGGGGGGGGGGGGGGGGGGGGGGGGGGGGGGGTGTCATTGGTAGTGAACAAAATCTTGGCACATCTTTGACTTGGGTGGAGTGGCTTGTCTGTCTCTGAATTATTATATAATGGAGTACCCTTTTCTTTTTCCATAACTTTTGCAACTCCTAGCCAATGGGATTTCAATTAGGGTCATTTCCGGTCCATTTGCGGTTAATTTTGGGAACATCATGATCAATCCTTGATTTGTTCTTGTCTTGGTTGGTTTAAGGTTTACAAGTGCGATAGATATTTCTCATTAATATATGTTTTACACTTTTCAATTTGAAACACCATACAACAAAACAGACTTGGTTATGAATCCTGAGGTGTTTGGTAAAATTTAATTTGTGCTTCTATTAACTTACTTAAGGATTGTTTTAGATAATCTAAATAAGTGTATTTTTTGATTTTTTATGAAAAGATATATAAAAAAGTATGAAGTTATTATAATATTATAAGATCTATTTACTAGAAATCAAAACACTACGAATATAATTAATTACTAAAATATAAACTTAGAGACATACCGTTTGATTCCGTTATTGTCTTGAGTTTTGCTTCCTTGAAAGAAGATGGTATTCACAATTGGAAAATCTTAGCACCAGCTCTTCCCCTGCTTCTCCTAATCTTTTTGTTGTCTTTTCAATGGGGCTGACAACCCTTTGATCTACATATATATATATATATATATATATAAACCCTAATAAGGATAGAAGATGGGACTGTACCTAAATAAAATAATTACTAGGCTCTCTCATTAAGGAATCCAAATAACTTAAATAGGCCTTACATAGCCACATCACATATCCACATATAAAATAATAAACACACTAAGATGGATCATGTCCCAAAACTTTATGGATCACAATAATAATTTTGGACTCATATCAGTCAATTTATCTAAATCACGTTCAATCCGTTTTTCACAAACCAAACAAAATATAGTCAATGACAACCTAATTTACAACAAATTCTTACATTCTCTCACTTAGGCAACATTGACTACTAATTTAAGAAAAAAATGACTCTCAAGTTAAACAACTTTAGTGGCCATATAAACATGATTCAAAATAGAAACATCTCAGCACAGAATCATGTTCAATGAGAAATATTAATATCGAACTGTAGCGATAATTATGATATTTAACAACATAACACCTTCCACAATTACAAACACTAATATCTCACCAACATAGATTCTTATATGTGATAAAGTGTAGTGTGGAATTTCAGCATAATTGATTCAAAAATTATATAACATGCTATTTCCACATTCATTCCTCTGTATGGTCTTGACAAGACCCTGCAAGGAATTTTATTCCATTTTACACTTCCAAAAGAAGCCTTTATTCTGCTAAACCGAGGTCTTTCATGCTTTGAACCAAGCATCATACTTTATGGATCCATATACACTTCTAAACCGAAGCATTATACATTTCTAAATTAAAATGTCAATCTTTATATCTCAAAATTTAAATATAACTATAAGGGTTCATATAAGACGAATACATACATAACAGTTACCATTTATGTGTACACATAACTATAAACAAAATGTGAATAAACACATTAAACTTTATTAACTGAAATACACTATAGATAATATTCATGGGTAAAAAATTTCTTTAACCAAGCACATAAAACTGTAAAGTACCCATATGCTCAATATATTTAGCAAACTAAAATTTGGCCTAAGCCCTATATTTAGAGGATCAACTAGTATGTATCCTATAACATGTGCTCATAAAAAATATCATTTGTAACAACTTTCTAATTCTGAAATACTTTAAATTTACCATCAGAGCTTTTATTATTCTTCATAAAGAAAATTAAAACCACATATCATAATACATCTTTATAGGTTTGGAAATGAAATTAACAATTCCAAGCTCTGAAATAAAATTCTTTAATTACATAACTCAAGTCGAACTCTAAAACATGTTTGTATAGTGAAAAATTATAAGAGATTTTATGAAAATCTTTCATGAAACAAGACCTCATGCAAACATAAAAAAAATGTAACCAGTAATAGACACTATATATCATCTGAGCAACTTCCAAAATCGACATTATACAACCAATAATATTAACATGATTAATTCTTCTATAGCCAATTGTATAATCTTTAATTCTCTATAAATATCATGACACTTTATGTCTTTCAACCCAATGGTCAATGCTTAAATTAAAATAATAATTGTTTAACAAACTAATTGCATATGCACCAAGTTTAATTCAAATTTCATAATTCATTAAACTCTCACAACACTAGAATATGAGACATTCCTCATGAACTCTTTCTCAAAATCATTTTATAAATACTGAATGTTACTTAATTAGTCTCGATCACTAAGAAGAGTAATGTAAAACTTTCAATTCTACATATTAAATTTAGTAAAAATGTGATCTAGGTATGCTCTTTGAGATGAGACAAATAATTATTTTTCAAGTATCTCAATGCCAAACACATAAAATACTTTATCAAGATATTTTATATCAAAAATTTATTAACAACAATATCTTCACATCAAGTATTAATTCGAAATTATTACTAATAAGTAAAATTCCATCGCTATAAAGGATCAAGAAAAATAAATTGCTCCCACTGACCTTGAGATGTATGCATAAATTAATAGTATTATCCATAAAGCCAAGTAATAATATTTAGTGATCAATTAAATATTATTACTCAGAAATTTGTTTAAAACCATAGATAAATTTGTTTAACTTACAAATCAAATTTATTTTGTTTGGCGAAGCAAAAGATAAAAATGTCACAATACCACTATAATAATTATAAACCTATATTTATGACATTGGTAAGAACAATACTCTTTTCAAATCACAACCTCTTGCAATAGCATTGTATTTATTTATTTATCTTTAAAAAATACTCATTAGATTTCAAACTTTTAAAAAGGTATAACATGATCTCATATCTAATTAATAATTTGTACCAATTCATTTACCATATTACAAATCGCCAATATCTTCATCATACGTAACAATCATCTCTTCAATCTCTTGATATTGCTCATTTAGAAAAATAATATAATCGCAAGGATCTTTTAATTGTATGAGAATGTCTAGAAGGTTGCACATGTCATACATGTTCAACTTTTATCAATAGACTGAATAGACACTTCAGATTCTACTTGCACTCTCACTTTCTCTATGTGAGAATGAACGGACCAATTTATTATAATAGGCACAAGACACTTCAGGTTCTACTTGCACTCTCACTTTCTCTATATGAGAATGAACGGACCAATTTATTACAATAGGCACAAGTACACAGGAAAATTCATATATTTGAGCTTTAAACTGTTCATCAATCTAAAAACTTCACATTTTAAGCTTAAAAGATTTTTATGTCAGAACCAAGATAATAGAACCATTAACAACTTACAAAGTAACAACAAGTAGCAATAAGTCCCATTTTAATTTCAAAAGCACAACAAACTTTTTACTTCTATACAATTCCAAACTCAAAAGTTATTTAAACTAAATTTTCTACTAGTTCACAATTCAAAAGTGTTTTAAAATATTTTTAACTTAGTACCATATGTAAAGTATACACAAGTATACATATCAATTAAAAATATTTTATCACAAAAAACTTGTATAATTTAAACATGTTAAAACCTACACCTCATCATTTTATTAGAGTCCAATTGCGAAACTCAAGTACTCAACTTTCTCTTGAAGTTACAAGCATGATATATTTAAACTGATTCCATAATTTTATAAAAAATTAATAAGAGGTTATGCACATTAACCAAAATTATCATGTTCACTATAATAGCCATCTTCAATTAATAATTTTAAAAACTTTATCAGTGTGTTTTTCAACATAAATGAGATTACACAAATGCATAACATCAATACTCATTTATGAAATTAATAAAATAATTTCTCCCACACACTTTATGATAAATGAAAATCTATTTCAATTATTATTATTATTTTTTATTTTATTTTATTACCAAGGTGACAAAAATTAAAAAAATAATCATACTTATTTAGTTTTGACATTAAAATTAAATTGTTGTCATACGAACAATATATAAAATAACATTCTTTAAAACAAGATCAGTACTAGACTACAACTTAAATAACATGATCAAAAATAAAATTTTGATTAACACAAGAGCTTTTAAGTAGTTTAAGAAACAAATGAGGAGATCCCAGAGGTGAGAAGAGTGTCATAGCTCACAAAAATTTGAAAGAATTTTTCTTACTGGAGTTAATAATATGTAAAGAGATTTGCGGAATATTCTGAAAAGGAAAACATAAAACACTGAAAAGAAATAATGATTTGTAAAAGTCGAAGGTATTATATAGAGCATTGTAGAGTATAATTTAGATTTTCTTATAAGAATCATCTAGTAGATATTCTAAAACTCTACTTTCTTAAATAGTTAACATTAAATATAATTTCAATCTTTTACACTATATTGAGGTGTTAATATAAATGGTTAAGAATGTGCATTCTCGAGTATGTCAACATCTAAATTCATTAGATTTAAAAATAAGTCAATATCCATTTATGGATTCACAATCAAAACTTTAATGGAGTAAATTTGATTTTCATAAAAATATTTCCCTTCATTGTTTTCAATTCAATATAATATCATTCAATTATATATAGACAATAATAATCTCATAATCACAATTAATATTCTCAAATATTTAAAATGTATCACTCTTAAACTGAATATATAGAAAGTATTTTCACAACTCCAACTTTCAATTATACATAGGCAATTAGTATAATCTCACAAGAATATGCTGCGAATAAACTTTAACAATATTCTCAGATGTGCCAGAATGTATCACTATATAAACACCTTTGGGTTGAATATATAGAACACAATCAACAT